AACGTTTCTCCAGGACCCAGGGTGCTACATAAGACAAACACAGAACAACACAGAACTACAAGGGACTACATTAATTTATACATAAAGTGCACACATGTGCAGACAGCACAAGACAGAACAATGACTAGAGACAAATCTGCCTGACTATGAATGTTGAATATCCTAATTCCTGTCCGTTGCCAGAAGTCCTATTCCGTGCCGATCGGATTGGACTTCCAGAGGAGGTACGCTACCACAGTACTGGATCTGGAGCAGCTTAATAAAGACCTGAACAAAGTTCTGCATGAAGTCCAGCAGTTCTGTTATGAAGTGAGTGAGCGTTCTCTGAGAAAATTGTGCTCCGTTGGAAATGCTGTGTCATGTACATTCTGTTCCTGTTCATCCTGATGGTGAAAGCTAGTATTTGCTGGTGTTCACTGTTGACACACTGGAAATACAGTACTGTGTAAAAGTCTTAGGCTCATGCAAAGAAATGCTGTCGAGCAAAGATGCTCTCAAAAATAATTAAATTTAATGTTACTACATTTTAAAAAAATCCTATAAAGAGCAGTAAACAGTAATAAATGAAACAGAGTCAGTATGTAATGTGACGATCCTTCGCTTTAAAAAAAAAACAGTGTCTCAGGTGCAGTGTGTGCAGTTTGATAAGGAAATGAGCTGTAAGTGTTACTGAGCATCTTGCAGAAGCAGCCGCAGTTCTTCTGGAGACTTTGACTGTCGACTCGCTTCTTATTTCTGCAGCGAAACCCAGCAGCCTTCATTCTGTTTTTTTTTTATCTGAAAAGTCTCTCTTATGTCATCTGCTGCTTTCTTTACTGACATACAAACATTGTTCTGTTTAATTTAATTTTGTGCTGGAAAACTAATGTTTGGAATCTAAAATGTTTTTGTACTGAATCAATAATGTAGAAGTCATAAAATAAAAATCTGTAACAAAGTTTGCACTAAAAAAAAAATAGGGTGCCTAAGACTTTTGCACAGTGCTGTATCTACACAGACTGTCTTCATGTAACGCTCTCGCTTGTACAGCTGGCCCCGGATCAAGGCATGCAGCCTGCAGATCAGCCCAGTGAGCTGCGGAGACGCTGCGATGAGGAAGCCCAGGACATGGTGAGGCTGTCCAACGCTCTGCCTGATGGAGAACAGCGTGTCCAGAGCCCTGGACTCACGCAGCTCATTTCCCGTCTCACTGCTCTCCTGCTGCAGATCAGGGTGAGACTCTGAGCCACTTCCTCACATCTGTATCCACCCAGTTGCTGAATTCATTACTGCTGATTCATTCGTTTTGGGATTTTTGTTTTCTGCTGCAGTGCTTGGCAGAAGGTGGTGACCTGAATTCATTTGAATTTAAATCATTGACTGATTCCCTGAATGACATTAAGAACTCCATAGACAACTCCAACCTCAGGTAAGACACAGCATATTGATTCTGCTGATGTTCTACGGCACAAATGTATCGTCACTAAGACGGATTTTAAGGAGCTTACACCTGATTCCTAAAAAGGACTTCCAGAAAATAAACATTGCAGATCCAAAGTGTTATTTTGCAAACAAGACCTAATGACCAATCATACAGCTTGTTATTTATTTCCTACACCAATCACAAGCCTGGACATTCAACAACAGGTTTGTGTGCGCCCCTAAAGCCCGCAACCGGAGCGGCATTGTTCACATACTCGCCTACGTACATTATGTACATCTAGAGAATTAAAATGCAACGTCCACTAGATGGCACATCTGAGTCATAAGCTCCCTGTCCATGTGGATTCCAAATCGAACGGTAAAATATTTAGCGACTTCATGCACTGCGATGTTATACACACTGATGAGATCTGATGCGCCTTTCCGCCGTCTTCGTGATTGTTGTCATGATCTGCGTTTCAGCTCGAAAACTCTGACCTCGCATGTACGAATCTAGGAAATCCAGAAGACCGGTACTCAAAACAAGGCCACACGAGAGGTTTCTAAATTTAAACTCGTACATAAGTATGTGATCTGAGACCCAGTGCTAGTTTGTTTAGATGCCATACTGCCTCCGCTGTTTACGTTGTTATCGCACCACATGGATGCCTAGGGTTCGTTTCTGTGGACATGCA